AGGGTAAGCAGAGGTAGAGGAGGGAGGTCACAGGTAGATCAGGCTTTTATGGGGCCTTATTCAAACTGCACCCAAAGTCACTACCACCATCCTCCCATACATCCCATCCCTACCCCAGACCCTCTCCCCATCCCCAATCTGGCAAATCTCTACCCAAATGTTCCTGATGGAAGTTAAGCCTTATCCTGCAGGTTTGGGGGGCAATAACAGAAGTTAAAGGGCCACTGGCCTAACATTAACATAGGAGATTTTAAAAGCCAACAATCTGTTTCTACCGCTTTCCTCCATACTTTTAGTTTCCCCATTCCCCTCTTTTCCTAGGTAGATATCTGGATATGGGGTGGGAGGGAGAGAGGGGGAACCTCTCCTTTCAATTACAGAAACAGCCCTATAAGCCTGGATTCTAGCTGTGCTCCACCTGTGTACCTGGCCCTGAAGGATGGGGTATCTATCTCCTGCGTCCCTACGAGACACCTAGGTTTTACTGAAGGCAAATAAAGATGAGCAGCAGATGAAATAAGCATTAAAAATGATTAAGTGTTCGATATACAGGCTTTCCAGCCTGTGTAGGGTCCCAACGAGACTGTTCATTTCCTAAATTCGGTGTCTTCCTCCTGCTGCAAGGCTGCCTTGCACACAGAAGCACAGCCAGGAGTTTGGGCAGAGAGCAAGTCCGGGAGCCTGGAGCAGGAGCCTGGAGCAAGCACTTTGCACACAGAGAATGACTCCAGCCTGACTTTCCCTGCAGCTGGGGAGCGCAGCACCAGATACCTGAACGCAGGTGATCTACCCTGCACACAAAGCCTTAAAGAATAACCAGAAGCATGACTGAGCAGTGCAAGGAACATCTAACAAGAGGTCTGGGGCTCTGCAATGTGCCTGGGGTGTGAATTTGGGTACATCACCTTGCCTGCCTGGGCTTCAGTTTCCTGGTTTATAATGTTAGGGAGTGGCCTCCAAACTTCTTCCTTTTTTTAAGCAGGAAAAATACCTTATTGTCCCAAATGAAATCTTATGGGGGAGCTCCAAGATATAAAACATACAAGTGAAATAGCTGTGGTCAAAGTGCGTTTGTAGGATTCACAAAGCTCTACCGAGTCTCTCTCCCTCTCCTCTTCCAACCCCTAAAAACAGAAGGAACAGTTCTAGCAAACTGGTTCATCTTTCTAAGTTGGAACATCTCAGGATATTACTTACAGCAAACCTCACTATAACTCTCCATATGGAGCAGAGGAGAAACAGACCAGATTGATGACTACTTTATTTAAAATTCTATGTCAGGGTGCCTGGGTGGCTCAGACGATTAAACATCAGACTTTGGCTCAGGTCATGATCTCACGGTTCATGGGTTTAAGCCCCACATCAGGCTCTGTGCTGACAGCTCAGAGCCTGCTTCAGATTCTGTGTCTCCCTCTCTTTCTGCCTTTCTCCTGCTCATGCTCAGTCTCTTTGTGTCTCAAAAATAAAACAAAAGTTAAAAACTAATAATAAAACCTATCTCCAAATATACTGTCATCTACTCAAAAATATTTTAAATATTTGTCTAAAAGATAAGAGATTTTGAATATCTAGACCTCAATTTCATTACTGAGAACATAAAAACATTAACTCCTTAATATCATGTGACATTTAAGTCACTGCTCCATCAATTTTCCCCCTTACAATTAATTTGATAAAGGACTTTTTTTCTCTAGCACTTCCCACTGCCTGGATTCCCATGAGTGCATCTCTATCATTTGACATATGGCTGTACCTCATTCATTTTTGCTGATTTCAGAGATCAAGAGTCTCAACCAGATATGAGGGCTCAGTTGGTTAAGCACCCAAATGCTAGTTTCAGCTCAGGCCGGGTTCATGGCTTCAAGCCCCATGTTAGCTCAGTGCAGAGCCTGCTTGGGATTCTCTCTCTCCCTCCCTCTACCTACCCCCCCACCCCCAAAACGCACTTTTGTGCTATCTCGGTTTCTCTCAAAATAAATAAATTTAAAAAAAAAAAAGGATTTCCACCAGATTCCAGTTCCATCAGGAGACACATAACATCTGGTTGTTTTCTCTCTGTGTTATTGGCAGCCATTAATTATGACTTTCTGCATTAAATTAGTTTTCAGCTTCTTGTGTATCTTCCAAAATCTTTCACAAACATACAAAAACATCAAGTTATACCTTTTTGTTTTTACCCAGAGGGCATTAAACCCTGTTGTTGACCTGAAGCTCTCTGCTTAACAACGTGAGATTATTCACTTTTTAAAAATCAGAATTCAATAAGACACAGTTAACATGGTAATGATATCAGTATAGTTTTTACAGATTATAGAATTTACAGTTTAAATTCCAGCATTGTCGGGAACAGTGCTTGACACATGGTAGGTGACCGATAACCTGGAACTAGATAAATAAGCAACACTAATAAATCCAACTGGACTTTTTTTAAGTTTTCACTTGTTGATTTTTAGTAATCTCTACACCCAATGTGGAGCTTGAACTCACAACCCTGAGATCAAGGATCCCATGCTCCACTGACTGACCAGCTGGATGCCCCAGAATCCACTGGACTTCTTTTTTTTTTTTTTAAATAGAGACAGTGTGAACAGGGGAGGGTCAGAGACAGAGGGAGACACAGGATCCGAAACAGGCTCCAGGCGCTGAGCTAGCTGTCAGCACAGAGCCCGATGCGGGGCTCAAACCCACGAACCATGAGATCATGACCTGAGCTGAAGTCGGATGCTTAACCGACCAGGTGCCCCTCCACGGGACTTCCAAGAGCCCATACTATCAACCGACCTGCACAAGCGGTCCCCCAGATACCACGTCTGCTAAAAATTCTCAATCATCTGCTCAGATCAACTGCTAGGAAAAGCCAAGCAAACCCTGTCTTCCCACCACTACTTCACATTTTCCTTTTTGTAAACAATTGCTTAACCATCCCAGTGTGACCCCATCTCTTACCGCTTCAACTCATTCATTCATCAGTTTTCCCACCCCCAAAGAACCTAACTACAAGCCACAGTTCCCGATCAATAATCAAACCAGTGATTCCTGCTGCCCCCACTAAGGCTAACTGGTGGTTACAAAATTAGCAGCCTGTTTCTGTGTGGCACTGTCTGGAGGACCCCAAAACGATCGATGTCCCTGTTCCACTTCCTGGTGAGGGACTTACTGAGGCTAAAACCAGTCCATTAATAGTCTCATGAAAGAAGCCAGAATATGAGCAATCAAAACTAAATCAGCAACACAGGTATTTTTTTTAAAGCCCGCTGTAGGTTTCTGGGGGTTTTTTTTGTTGTGGTTTTTTTTTTTGTTCTGTTTTGTTTTGTTTTGTTTTGTTTGTTTGTTTGTTTTTACTGGTATGACACTATTGCTTGCAACCACTGTGGAAGCTCAGAGTATAAACAAGTGGGTGCTTATCAGGAAAAGACTAATCAGAAATCTCCTCCAAGTCTATCTGAACCACCCCAATATTGCTCATGGCAAATGTATTTACATCTGAAGTATGTCACGTATAAGGACAGCAACAGGAGGGTGGCTAAGTGATTTTTAAACCAGGCTCACAGGCCCAAGGAAGCAGTGGAATAAGAAAGGGCAGGCATGAAGAGTTTTTGGCCAGCAGTTCTATTTCCTACCCCTCAAGGGCCACTAAATAACTCAGAGTAATAAGCATTCCCTCCAGAATTAATGAAGGGGAGGAAAGATGTGCCCCTTACCAGCTGTCCCCAAGCCAGCGGCCCATCCTCAGCCTGATCCGGGTTCTGCCTCTGCCAGAGAGGGGAGGGAACTAACTATTCCTGAAGCCACATTGAGACAGAGGGGTCCCCTACTTCTGACATGTGACCCTTGAACCCCAGTGCTTCACTGAAGGTATGCCCACCTGTACCCAAAGAGCTTTTGTTCTGAATAAACTGCTCTTCTACTAATTACTCAAGGTAAGTCCCTGGGGTCCATCCCAGAGTGACTCTGAGGCAGAAGGTCCCAGGTCCAGGTCCTTGATCCATCCCTGACTATCCCTGAGTAAATAACTTATCTGAAACACCTCTCTGGTCTCCAAATTGGAGAGCCATATTCACTACCTTCTAAGGTATCTAACAGGGTAAGTCAGTCAGAGAAAGACCAATATCATACATTTCCACTCATATGTGGAACTTGAGAAACTTAACGGAAGACCACGGAGTAAGGGAAGGGGGGGAATGGTTTCAAACAGAGAGGGAGGCAAACCACAAGAGACTCTTAATACAGAGAACAAACTGAGGGTTGATGGCGGGTGGGGAAAATGGGTGATGGGCATTGAGGACGGCACTTGGTGGGATGAGCATGGAGTTTTAGGTGTAAGCGATGAATCAGGGGAATCTACGCCCAAAGCCAAGAGCACACTGTATACACTGTGTGTTAGCTACCTTGACAACAAATTATTTAAAAAATAAATAAAAATCAAAAGGATTGAAAAACTAATTATATGACCGATCCCTTTCTTCTCTGCTCTGCCCCACCCCCTTCTTTCACTCTGCTTCCCTGTTCTTCATCTGTTTCCCCCATCTACTTCATCTTTGGCAAGCCCTGCTCTATCGCAGGGACCATAGAAAGATGACCAGGATATAACCTCTAGGCCCTTGTGCTGTTTCTGGCCCAGGGGCAAGGCTGTATCATCAATCTCAACGCCCAGGGAATACCTTTGCCTGAGTCACCCCAGGATGACATGCTGATCAAAATAAACTCGTCTCCTAAATACCAGGTCCAACACACACACACACACACACACACACACACACACACACAGATACACTTCACAGAACACCCAAAGCACCTGGGTGGGTGTGGTAAGCAAATGTTTTCATGAACTTTTCCATCCAGCACCTCCCCAACTTCACCATGTCTTCAATGGCATCCATGTTTCCAGGGGGATATGGGGGGGGGGGCGGGGCGGGGAAGGACAGGAACTCCAACATACTGGAACAGACTCAAATTAGGACTACAAGCCATGAAACGGGTAGCACTTACTGATAACTCACCATGTACCAAGAATTTCAGATATATTAATTCTTTCCGTTTCTATCGCATCCCTCTGGTGTAGGTACAGCTGTTATCTCAATTTTCCACATGAGGAAACATAAAGGCGTACAGAGATTATATAACAAGTCCCACATCACGTGGCTGGCCAGGGGCAGAAGTAGGCTGGGAGCTGGGGTGGTTTGGCTCTGTGGTCTTAGGTCTTTTCCAACTGAAAAACAAAAGGAGACCCACACTTCTGTCCAAAAAAAGCACACTAGGAGAAAACCATCAGGAGAAAAAAATCATATGAACTCCCTAGACTGAGGTGGAGATCGAGGCCTTATCCCAGCCCCTCCCCACCCCCCAACAACATGGCTCTCTAACATGGATCTCCCCGCTTCCAACCTCCCTTTACCCATCTAAAAGACGATGCCCTAGATAATAGCTCTCACATGCTTGGGGGTCTCTGTGAGGACTCCAGGGAGCAAAACCTTAAGCCTTTGGACTTTGAGGTCAGAAGGAACAAATTCAAATCTAGGCCATGAGACCTGCTGGCTGGTAACTACGGGTAGGTAATTCAGTCTCTCTGTGCCTCAGCTTCCTCATTTTCAAAGGGGGACAAAAATGAATTTGTTGTTAAGTGCTGAGATAATGTGTACACATGCTGACTGCGGTGTCTGGCAAAGGATACCCAGTAAATGGTATATGATGGTATTATTACTAAATATCATCATCACCATCTGAAAATCCATAGGAGAATCTCTTCCTGTATTTTGTTTTTAATGTTTATTCATTTTGAGAGAGAAAGAGACAGAGCACAAGAGGGAGAGGGGGCAGAGACAGAGAGGGAGACAGAGAATCTTAGCAGGGTCCAGGCTCTGAGCTCTCAGTACAGAGCCCAAAGTGGGGCTCAAACTCACCAACTGTGAGATCATGACCTGAGCCAAAGTCAGAAACTTAACTGACGAAGCCACCCAGGCGCCCCTTCCCCTCTTTAATACAGGTAGACTTCATAACCTTATTTGGAAGAATAATGTGGTTGACCCATTTTCCAATTTAAATCCCTGAACAAGTGGAGGGGATAGGGGCAGATGGTTTAAAGGCAGCGGCTCCTTCAGTCCTGGGCCCCTCCCCAGAGGGCCTATGGGTGATCCCCTCCTGATGTAATGCCTCTCCCCCCATACTCCTGCTCCCAAGCCCCTACAAGTAACCTAAAGGGCCTTTCAAAAAGACTCTACCCTCCCAAGTCTACGTCTGCTGAATAATAATGACAAGGTTCCTATGGTAACAGTCCTTTCCAAAGTTTGGGGAGTGGAAGACTGAGGGTCACTTAGCACCTGGCTTCTGTTCCGTGAAATGCCTTGTAACCACATGTTTTGTTTTTTCTTTTTCTCCACAGTTAGAGCAGGCCTTATGCACAGGACCATTTACAAAGCACTTCCGCAGTGTTACCTCCTCTGTGAGGTAAAGAGAGATTACTGACCCTATTTTTTTACAAATTAAAAATCTAGCAATTAGAGTCATTAGGAGCTCATACACAGTGAAATCAGCGGACAGAAGACCAGCGCTGTTCTAAGGGTCTCTTGAAGTTGTACGTCCTCCTATCAGCCTCTTCCAGAAGGCTTTCCCTTTCTCTCAACTTCACGCCTTGAGGCTGCATACCACAACCCTTCCATTAACATCCCAACCAGGGGAGGTGTGCGGGACTGAGGCCTCAGCTCCTCTCCAACAGCAATCACAGTGGTTCACCAAAGCCTTATGGTGAAGAGTCTGAGCTTGGAAGTCAAAACATGTGGCTTCACATGACTAAGACCTAGGTTTCAATCCCAGTTCTGACACTGGTTAGCTGTGTGAGCTTAGGAGAGTTACTGAACCTCTCTGTGACTTCATTTCCTTGTGTGTTCACTAAAGTAACAGCACTTCCCTCATACGGTTATTGTGAGAATTCATGGGACATTGACTCAGATCACACAGAGTAAGCTCTTGGAAATTTAATGTTATCGTTATCATTGGTATTATCTATCAATATTATTAATTAACACCATCGCAATTTTACAGTTAATGCAACCAAAATTCAGAGCCCTGTATCTCGCGCAGGCCCACATGGCATGCAAGTGCTACAGCCCAGGGGGGATTCCAAGACACCTCCTACTACCTCTTTTCTGGTCCCCATAATGCATAACACACACTGAGCACTTAGTAATACCCAGGAGTTACAGAATGTAACAACCATAAGAAACCCCAGTGAGCCATCTGGTCAACCTTCTCCCTTTGCCGATTGGGAAACTCAGGATGAGCAGACATCACATCTGTTCAATATCATTCATTTATTAATGATAACCTACACAGTTGTACAGTGATGCCTAGTGACAGAGTCTTATTCTCCAGGCCACTGATGCTGAAGCCTCCAGCCAAGACTACCAGGAATAAACCCGAAGTCAAACAAGGAAGTCATCCCAGAGAATCTAAGTTGTCTCAGTATAGGGATGTTAGGAAGTACTCATTATGCACCTTGGGCCTGCTTAGTGATTTGGGGGAGGGTTCGAGGAAGCATGGTTTTGTTCTGGTGGGTGCAGTCATAAAGCAGGAATTCTCTGAGCATGCACCCTCGTTAACGGTTAACTGAGAAGCAGGAGGAACAGAGTAGGGCTATCGCTCTAATTGGTGAAGAGACAGCAGTCATTCACCTGATGAGAGAGAAGGGGTGTTGGACCAGTTTTGTAGACTGCACAGCGAGTTTGTCTTCATCTGCGATCAGTCCCGATCATGGAGTGTCCTTGCCTTCCTCTTAGGTTCTATCACCATCACACAGTGACCTTACCACATCCTGGTGTGCTGTGAAATTGCTCTCATTGGAAAGGAAAACACCAGGGCCTCTCCATCACAGCCAGGCCGGCCCATGCGGACAGCAATGAGAAGTTGCTGGCTGTTTTCCTTTTCTCTATAAGGTGTTTAACTCTTCACAGCACCTGTTTGTGTCAGGCAATTTCAAGATGATGGAGGTACAAAGTAAATAAAGATCCTGACCCTTAATGAGTCTACATTCCAATGGGAGGAAGAGGTAATTAAAAATAAACGTAAAACATTTAAAAAAATAAACCCCACAGTATGTTACAAGTGATAAGTGTTTTGGGGAAAAAAAGAAAAGGCAGAGTAGGGCAAAGGAGATGGGGCATGCCAGGTGAGGACAGCAATGATAAGCGGGTGGCCAGGGGTGGCCTCCTCCACATGAAATTTAAGCAGAGACTTGAAAGAAATGAGGGAGGGGACCACAGAAGTTAGCGTCTTTGTCCTAGTTCAGAAACAAGAGGAGCAACACCTGCAGCAGTGGATAACACATCGGAGACCACCCTGCAATTACACAGTAGGACCAGGGAGCCCCGGGGCCTCCATGTCCCCTGCCACGAGTGACTTTTCTGACAACAAACTGGATGTCAGGTCATTCCTGGTGCAGGACTGGGCCCAGGATGGACTCCAGGCTTAGGGGTGTAAAGAGCCTCGCTTTCTCACTCCCACCCGGGCTGACAACACATTGCAGAGTATGCCACTCAAGATACGCCCCTCTGGCACAGGGACTCCTTGAGCAGATGGCATAGAGAAAAAGCAGGCCCAGATGGGCTCTCTGCCCTCTCCCTACCTGCCTGGAAACAGGGCATAAATTCCCCTGTGAAGGTTCCCTCTCTTCCCACACCAGGAAGTGGGGAGAACTTTATCACCAGAGAGGCAGACAGCACAGAGGAGAATCTACATTAACAGATGCTGCTAGATAGCCCTTTTCTGCCATTGGTGGCCACCGTCCCCCATACACTGACCTCCTAAGCCTCCTCCTCCCCCCACCCCTGTACTCCATAAAACGTTCAACATCCAATAAAATTTGAATGCTTTTCTCCTGTTAATCTGTCTTCTGTCAGCTTATTTCATAGGCCTGACCGCTGAGTCTTAGAGGGTAGGGAAAAATTTGTCCTCTCCACCGCAGCTCCAACCTACTAAGTGCTGCCCCTGTGCAGTCAGGCCATCTGCTATGCCCCTCGCACATCATCTCAATGACCCAGAGAGGGACATCCAGCCATTAGCCTTATTCAACAGAGGAGGGCATGAGGCTATGAATGCTGAAGTCCCTTGTTCAATACAGCACAGTTGGTTAAAAGGCAGGGTTTATTTGGGGGGACTCCTGAGTGGCCCAGTCAGTTAAGCATCCAACTCTTGATTTTGGCTCAGGTCATAATGTCACAGTTCATGAGTTCGAGCCACATGTCAGGTTCATGCTGACAGTGTAGAGCCTGCTTGGGATCCATTCTCCCCCCCATCTCTGTCTGCCCCTCCCCCACTCACAAACTGCCTCTGTCTTTGTCAAAAGAAATAATAAACTTAAAAAGAAAAAAAGAGGCAGGGTTTATTTTTAAACCCATACTGCATAATTCCATAGCTTAACTATTTTGCAAAATCTCCCACACCAAAATATTTACAGGTAGGTGTGTGTGTGTGTGTGTGTGTGTGTGTGTGTGTGTGAGCGCGCATGCGCACGTAATCCCTAATATCTACCTCAGATTGCTGAGGTCTAAATAAGTATGCCTTGTATAGCAAGGACCCATCCAGCACCCATCCCACATAAGCTGAGCTGGAAAGAGTATGTTCACAAGGAAAGGACTTTGTCTGAACTTCTGTATCCTTTGAACACACCTTGAAGCAGGTACTAAATATTCACCAGATGAACAGAGAAAAGCAAACTTCCTTCTGCTCTTTGCCCAGAACACTCAAGGGACCCCCTCCAAGATACCTCTTGTTTCAGCTGTGGACAAAAGGAAGCAACTGTGAAATGAAACTGTTCTCAGCATGTCTCTAACTCCGTCCCAACAGACAGGCAGGAAGGTGACCAGGGGCACACATAGCCTGGTCTCACCAGGACACTCTTTTAGATGCTTGACACTAAAATTAAGGTGCCACTTGGGGATCAGGCAGTCTACCAAGGCACTCTACCATTTGTTTCACTCAAATCCATTTGTTTCCAAAAAAATAAAGTAAAACAGGGGCACCTGGGTGGCTCAGTCAGTTAAGCATCTGACTTCGGCTCAGGTCATGATCTTGTGGTCCGTGAGTTCAAGCCCCGTGATGGGCTCTGTGCTGACAGCTCAGAACCTGGAGCCTGCTTCAGATTCTGTGTCTCCCTCTCTCTCTGCCCTTCCCTGACTTGTGCTCCGTCTCTCAAAAATAAACAAACATTAAAATGTT